ACCTGACAGATGGATGAAAGTCGATCAAACGTGAGCGAAGAAAATTAGAAGAGAAGCAGCACGCGTCCTTAGTTTGGGGCTGGGCAAGATGACGCTCAGAAAGGTGGAGTCGCTGTACAGCGAGCGCGAGGTGCGCCAATATCTCCAGCACATTCATTTCCCAGGCTTTGCAGAGGTCTTTACCGATGAGAAAGACGAGGATCGAGAGAGGTCAACGCTTCCAAGGCCTACGCTAGCCACGCTGACCTTGCTACAACAGCATCACCTGCTCAACATACCCTTTGAGAATACTTCCATCCATTACGAGAGCAGTCATAGCGTCAGCATCAACCCAAAAGTCGTCTTGCAACGTTTTTGCAGTCGACGCATGGGCGGTTATTGCATGCAGCACAATGTGTGTCTACTCAACGTCTTGCGGTACCTAGGCTACAAATGGTGCGTGCTGCATGCAAGCTCTTAGACATCTCTTCTCTGTGTGGCTCTGACCCGATCATCTTTAGCTATGCTGTGGCTGGAAGAGTTTTGGAACGAGCGCTGGATGGTGCGCAAGGGGATTATGAAGGATTCGGCCACATGATCATCCTCGTCTTGTTGCCCAACCATTTGCACGAACCACAGCAGGCGCAAGAACATCTGTACGCAGTTGATGTTGGATACGGAGCCCAAGGTCCCCTGCGTCCCCTGCTACTATCGGATGGGCATGTGGAGGAAGGTCGCTTCGGCGAGAGGCATCGACTTGTTAGGCTGCTACCTCCCGAATCTGCATTTGAGGACAATTCTGGAACACTTCAAAGTCCAAGCCTTTTGGAGGAGATGATGGAGGCGAACAAATTATGGCACTTGCAACACGCCAAGGGCGAGGCAGACTGGCAAACCCAGTACTCGTTCTTGCAGATCGAGACTTTTCCAAACGACTTTGAGGTGAGAGCACTCGTGCCGGCTCTGCGAGCTCATCTTCAATCTATACTGACGAAAGCCGCTCGACATGCGATGCCGTGCGCAGAAGCTCAATTTTGCCACGTCCAAAAGTCCGCAAAGCATCTTCGTATCAACCCTGATGCTCTCTCAATTCACCTTGAATCTCGTCGCGCAAGAGGATGGAGTCAAGCACGCCTCGCCTGA